ATAGTGCCTGTTCTGGTAAGAACACACCCCCTTGAGAACCTGTCACTGCTGAGGATGTGCTTAAGCATTGCTAGAGTATTGTTTTTTTTTTTTTTCCTTCAGACAAAATATGATGTTGAGAGCCAGGGCAGGTCTCCCATTCTGACAGAGGGCTCAGGCATCTAATTCTGAAGTGAGGGCAGAAGATGTTAAAAGCCAGGAAGGTTACACAGCTGCAAGGAAGCAGTCTTCCAGCACAACAGGGCTGATACACTCAGGAACTGGAGGCATGCACCAACCCAGCCCAAGTTCAAACCAGACAAAATTCCAGCACAGAAAAAGGGAAAAGGACACAAACCCACCAGGAAGTCATTTGTAATTGACACCTTCTGGGAGAGAGAAGTTGTTTATGGCTGGTCTGTCAACCACATTCTAACTCCATGCTGTTTTGTTTTGTTTTGTTTTTGGTCACCACAAAACAAACTTCAGTTTTGGTTTGGTACTTTTCTCTTTGGCTTTTTTTTTTTTTTTTTTTTTTTTTAAAGGAAGAACATGAAGCTGGGTGGGTAGGGAGTTGGAGAGAAAAGAATAGGATCAAAATATATTGCATGGAAAAAAAAAAAAACCACTCTAAAGCCAGTAAGTAAAACAAAAAAACAAAACAAAAAAAAACCAAGATAGGAAGCAGATACTTATAACAACCAGGAAGAAGCCTTGTAAACAGAGGCCTGGCTTGCTGGGTCTCTGGGCCTCTTTATCCCCATTATATGCCATGACATGAGGTATGTCACTCATACAATGTTTACAAAGCATATGGGTTGGAGGGTTGGCTTTGTTCATTTCTCCTGTCAAAAAATACAAAGTTAAGAAAAATCTGTTAGGCCATTTCAAGACAATCCTGCTGATGACAAAGGAGCGAGACCGTTCATAGGTCCATCTTCAGGATCCCCAGATTTTAAAATTGTTGTTTTGAGGCACTTTTGCATTTAAAATTCTTTAATAACTTTTTTTCTGATTACAAAAGTAATACATACTCCATATAAGACACTTAGAAAACAATATGGAAGACCTCAGTGTCCACCATCTGGAGACAGCCACTGGTGATTTGATATACCCCTTTTCTTTGCACATGTACCCCAAAAATATAAAAATCCACATTTTAGCAAAATTTTATGCTTTGAAAATAAGGGATAATTGAGGTTCTCCTTTTACAGTGTCTGCTGCGGCTATTTCTCAAGTCAAAGTAGTCTGAGTGGCAGAGGCCATAGTTAAGTAGTAAAGCATGTGCTTAGCCCTGGGTTCAATTCCCTAGTGGAGACGGGAGCCTCCCCTCAGCAATTTAACAGCTACAAGGTATTCTTAGCCTTTATTTGGGGCATCCAGGCTGCTTTTAATTAATGTTGTTAAATCTGTTGCATTCACCTTCACAGTTGTGTCTTCAGGATAGAGTCCTAGCAAACAGAATAGTAGGTCAGTATGTGCTCTTACAGCTGCCTTTATCTGGTCAAGTTAACTTTATACTCTCAACAAGGACACGTCTGTTCCCTTATCCTCAAGACAGCTTAAGATTTTGTAGTCCTTTTCATTATTTACCTTTCCTTGGGTATTTTCCGCAGTTTATAAAACCAAGGGACTCAGCTGATCTCCCCTGTGGTCCCTGGTTAAGACCTTGGATATCCCTTTTTTCCTGGGCAGAGTGGCACCCTGAAGACAGCCTTGCTAGACTACATCAAACGCTGCCGCCCTGGAGACAGCGAAAAGCACAATATGATTGCCCTGTGCTTTAGCATGTGCCGGGAGATAGGGGAGAATCACGAGGCAGCGGCCTGTATCCAACTGAAGCTGATTGAGTCTCAACCCTGGGGTGAGTGAGGTGTAGCACCTCCAGAGAGGTGCTAACACTAACCCTGCCAGCTCTTGAGGAGTAAGGAGTAGCAGCCCAGATGGCAGGGGATGGCAGTTCACAGAAGCATCTGAACCTTAGGACTACCCTCCTAGGGTGTTAGCCATCAAACCCTAGAGTTAAGTTCTAGTAAGGACATTTGTTGCCTGGGTGAAATATTCCTATGAATATACTTAGATTTTGTGTCTCTCGTCTAGCCTGCTGCCTTCACTGAGTGGTCTGAGAAGTCACTCAGCTTTATAACAAGTGTCCTTTATTCTACAGAGGAAAGACTCAAGGATGGAGCCCAACTAAAACAACTCCTGCTTAAAGCCCTGACTCTGATGTTGGATGCAGCGGAGAGTTACGCCAAGGTACCCAGTGTTATTCTGGCCTGGCACTGGCATCCGTAGTAGGAGAAATTACTTTGGCTTGGGCTCTTGCAAGTGAAGAGGGAGTGTGGAATGGGTCAGGCCAAGGTCAGAGTACATGAGTACAGAAGATATGGTAACAATACAATTCTCCCTTCTTGTGCTTCCTCCACCTGTCCCTCAGGACTCCTGTGTGCGACAGGCCCTACACTGTAAGCGGCTCACCAAGTTGATAACACTGCAGATTCACTTTCTGAACACTGGTCAGAACATAATGCTTATCAACTTGGGCCATCAGAAACTAATGGACTGTATCATGGCCCTACCTAGGTTCTACCAGGTAAGAACACTTTGACAGGTACTGCCAGTATAATCCTGTGGTGCGTCTCACTCTTGGTGCCCAGAGGCTGAGTGACTGAGGTCTCAGGGTTAGGGACAGACCCAGGGCAAACTAGTTATCCCAATTTAGCTGTCTAATAGTACCACGAAGAGGCAATTTGAGATGGGTGTGCATGTGTTTTGTAGTAATTCAGATCTTCACAAATGCTAGGCAAGTGTCCCACCATCTAAGGCACACTCCCAGCACTATCTGGTGTATTATCTCCAGTACATCGTTTGGGCAAAGTTAGAGAATTTGGATGTTTGGCAGTTATGGTTCTAAGAGACTTTCTTGACTTGTCCTCTTTAATAATCTTGCAGACTGTGTCCGTGGAATGGTGCATGCAGGTTAGCACTGAGAATCAAGTCTGCCCAGAGATTGGTTCTAGTCCTTTAAAATGAAAGGGAATAATGTCCCAGCATCAGCTCTTTCCTGCTTCCCACACAGTTACGTTATGGAAATAATTATTCACGTCAGTTTTACTGTCCATTATGAGGAAGACTAAAAACAAGGCACCGGAGGGGGTTTTATGGGAGGGAAATGCCAACACCAGACAACCTGATAGCCTTTAACACTGTGATCATAACTCACCATATACAGTACTGTTTCCTAGACTTTGCCTTCAATTTCCCACAGCATGGGATCTAACAGCCCCCTTCCCTTCACTTACATCCCTCTAAGGCTTCTATTGTAGCTGAGGCCTATGACTTTGTTCCTGATTGGGCTGAAGTTCTCTACCAACAAGTGATTCTTAAAGGAGACTTTAGTTACTTGGAAGAATTTAAACAGCAAAAGTTACTAAGACCCAATATATTTGAAGACATTTCCAAAAAGTAAGTATTAAAGTTGACTCTAGTCACAGCACTTGCTTCAAGTCCTAGTGTGTGCCGGGACAGTCAGGGCTGCATATGGAGAAGCTGTCCTTTTTAAAAAGGGAAAAACTGACTGTGAACCAGAAACTCTAGCAAAAGTGTCTTTTGTAGTAGTACTAAAGTTAATTAAGGTGGGTGCTGACATATTTTGCTTTTTTTTGGGGGGCCAAGACAAAGGTTTCACTGTGTAGCCCTGACTGTCCCAGAACTTGTTCTGTAGACCAGGCTGGCCTCAAACTCAGAGATCTGCCTATCTCTGCCTCCTAAGTGCTGGGATTAAAGGTATGAACCACCAACGTCCAGCGACATACTTGTTTTTAATTAAATTAATTCATCAAAATCCAATACTAGCTTGATAATTTCCTAAGCTGTGACACCCCTGCAGATAGTGGTGGCAGAGCTGACCCCCCTTGTTGATGAGACAGTATTTAACCTATACTTTACACATTTCTGTGTAGATATAAACACCACCAGCCTACCGACAGGGTCACAGAGAACCTGAAGAAGTTACTTTCATATTGTGAAGATATCTACCTGCATTACAAGTTGGCATATGAACACAAATTTTTTGAAATTGTAAATGTGCTTCTGAAGGACCCTCAAACAGGATGCTGTCTTAAAGATATGCTCGCCGGTTAGAAGATCTGAAAAATGCCTGATTGTTTTTTGTACCTAATACGGCAATAAAGTATTTGGAGATCTTTATCCCCACTTGAGGTAAAAGGCCCAAAAATACACAATATCACATCAGTCATTTGTGGCTGTAGGGAATGAAGGAGAAATTGGTATTAAGATCAAAAGCTTGTTAGAGTGTCTTCTACATTAGGAGAAACAGTAGTGATTAAAGAATACCTGTACCTGCAGGTTCCAGTTTCAAAGCAATTTAATCTTATTTACACAGTTAAGGAACAGGTGATACATTTTCATGAGTTAGAAACTGATCTTTCTATAATAAAATAGGTTTTAATTCAGTGTCTGTCATTATTACTGCTAAGGAGATCTTAGCCCTTGTCTGCCTTCAACAGTATTTACTATAGTTATTGCTGTGTAGTCACGGCCTTCTATTAATTCAAGTCATTTAGATGGTCCTGTTTTCCACTAAGTAGTCTACAGAGCTTTGAGGTTCCTATTGCCTATAGAAGAGAAATTAAAAATTTTTGTGCTGGTTGTGACAATTATGGGGGAGAAAAAAAAACTAACCACAAATTTGGTTAAATTACTTAAAATGATCACCCAATTTATGTTTACTGTAATAACGTGAGCAGTTGGTGCCAATATTCCAAATGAATAGTTCTAGGTACTTAATTGGGCCTTAGCATCTAAACAAGATAATTTCCCAAATAAACAAGAGGAAGGCAGCCTCTGTTGCTCTACACTAAACTAAAGACCCCAAACATTCCTGCTTCAAAGCTGTAACTACATCAGGCACTGGTTAAGCCTTAGTACACAGAGAACTCCACCCAAGAGCTGCAACCTGTACTCTCAACTATCTCTTGGGAGGTAACACAAAATTTAAGTCCTCACAATAGTGATTTTATTAAATTAGTTGCTTTATAAAACATTGCAGATGTCATAATTGTTAACATAACAATTTACCAAACTGTAGTTAACTGGCGCAGTTTGCTGAGCATGTTTTATAAAGAAAAGGAAATGCCAAAACCCTGTTAAGTATTTCTGTTGCAGCCTAGAACAGAAAGAGTTGTTTCTCAGACACTTGAATCAGGCAAATAGAAACAGAGTTCCCTCCCCCATCTGAAGTCCTCCATCAGTAGAGATAGGCCGATAAATAACTAGACAGTCAATGACTGGAGCGTCCACCACTTGCACTGTAATAATGGAGAGGTTTACCTTCTTCAGCTTCAAAGTTGAAGGGTTTTGGTCATTAAAATCTTAAGTATCAAACTAGTATTTTCAGCCACAGTATCTTCGCTCTGAGATAAGCAGTCTTCTTCACAACATGTTTTTAATATCCTCACTCTCAATTTTAAGACAAAGCAATTTTAATACTAGGTGCATCCCACATGCCCTTGTTTGCTGCAAACTGCTTTTCTTGACAAGTTATGAAGTAGTTCAAGGAGGTATGGTTAAGGCTGTATTACTGAATGGTGCTGGTAAATACTACACAATTTTTTTGTCATGTTGCAACCTTTGTTTCCAATTTAGTGACTGCTGCTATGGAATCAGATAGCAACAATGACAACATTATTAGGTTTCTTTTGTTTTTAAACTATGATTTAGTAGCAACTGAGGTTCCCAATTTTAACCCCTTGGCAACAAGATCCAAGTTCCCTCATTTGCTCATTAGCACCTGAGTGTCAAGGGGTTAAATAACCAGCACAAAAGATACTGCACTTCTGATTGTAGCATTTGGCAGAACTGAAAAGAAAGGAAGTTGTGCTACATGTTGAAGGGATTGTGGGCAACAGAAAGAAGACACCAGGAGAAGGTAAAATGTCACATGAAGTCTTCATAGTCTTGTACATATCCTCCATCATATCCACCATAATCTGCCAGATCGTCTTTCATGGTGGCCTTTAATCCCCCTCCAGGAACTACGCCTTTCTTCTTCTTTTTGGCTTTGCTTTGCTAAAAATGAAGGAAGAGTTAAATTCATGAACCTTTATCTGCCATGGGCATTTCATCTGTCACAGCAAGCACTCAAAGAGATGCTAAAGCTATAACAATTTTTATTGTCTCAGAAAAGAACACAAATGTCAGTGAATGGAGACAACAGGCCCCACACTGCTGTTCAGTTCTAACTGAGAATTTCAATGGGCTCTTGAATTCTGAGGGAATTCTGCCCACAGCCCCACCCTAATGAAAGTCATTTCTCTGTACTGCTTGCTCTTACCTTTTCTTGCTTCTGTTTTTCACTGCAAAGCACAGTCAATGAATTGGTAATCTTTTTCAAGTCATCAATTTCCACTTTAAAAAAGAGAGAGACATACTACTAAACTTCAATTTTTAAGCATTTAAAAAAAAATCAAAATAGATATCCTTATAAAAAATCATTTGTATGTCATTAAACTTAAGTAACTCCATTAAAACAACTATGGATTTCTCCTTCATAAGTAAACAGGTAAGTAACTGTTCAGTCTATGGCTAGGCTCAGTGATAGCTCACTAAAGTACAATGGTAAACTCAATGACTATAAAAACCTTAATTAGCCAGTCGGTGGTGGCACATGCCTTTAATCCAGCACTGGGGAGGCAGAGGCAAGCAGATCTCCAAGTTCCAGGCCAACCTGGTCTACAGAGTGAGATCCAGGACAGCCAAGGCTACACAACACAGTGAAACCTTATCTTGAAAAACAAAAAAACTATTTGTGAACTCTTTAGCACTGGTACTGCTTCTTGCTGTCTTTGCTCAGTCTAAACAGAGGGGAGAATAACCACAGCCTCTACAATCACTGAGTAGCAGGTACATTGAACATGCAATGATAATTAAACACACAAATGCCTCTGGTATGCTTTCTAGCCCAGGAACAACAACATTTAGTAGTAGACAACATATCCTTTTACTTATTTTAAAAAAAAAAAAAAAAAAAGCTGGAAAAGAAATCAGTAAATCAGTTCTTAGATACAGAAAATGTTAGGGTTTGGTCAGAACCCCGTCCCTGCAAAAGAAACACAGGAAAAACAGTACATGTAAAATGAAAACCCTGGGCTAGAGAGATGACTCAGAGGTTAAGAGCACTGTCTGTTCTTCCAGAGGTCTTGAGTTTAATTCCCAGCACCCACATGGTGGCTCACAACCATCTGTAATGAGATCTGGCTCCCTCTTCTGGCCTGCAGGGACACATGCAAACAACACTGTATACATAATAAATAAATCTTTAAAAAAAAAAAAGAGAAGAAAACCCTGTGGGTTACCAATCACTTTGAGCATCCCCTGCTTAGTGATCATTCTGCAAAGAAAATACAACTCCTAATTCATCATGACCTTTTTCTCACTCTACAACGAGTCCTAACACCCTCACCACCCCTAGACATTCTTGGTGTAGTGTCCCAGCAAAAAGGCGCCAGTTCTGTTGGGCAATTTGGACAGCATCTCAGACTCCATTTTTTTTTTTTTTTTTTTTTTTGGTTTTTCGAGACAGGGTTTCTCTGTGTAGCTTTGCGCCTGTCCTGGAACTCACTTGGTAGCCCAGGCTGGCCTCGAACTCACAGAGATCCGCCTGGCTCTGCCTCCCGAGTGCTGGGATTAAAGGCGTGCGCCACCACCGCCCAGCTTTTTTTTTTTTTTTTTTTTTTCTTTTTTGGTCAGACTCCATTTGTAAACCAACAGTTCTTAAGGGTCTTACTGAGCTCTAAACCTGAGGAGCCCCTAGTCCACTCCTTCTAAAGACACTCTGTAGTCCTTTAGGAGATTATGTGCTTTTGCTTGGCATAAGCCGGCTATCTCTGAGAAGCTCCTACACAACAATGAAAGCAGCCTGCCCCCACCCCCAAATACTCAAACTGGAGAACATTCCAAAAACATCTGCTAAGAAGGAAATCCCAAAAGTCTACATTATATAGCATTAAAGCTATATTTAAAAAAAAAAAAAAAACTACTTTCCCAAGTACGGTGTTCTTAATATATTCATAAAAGGGGCTAGAAATCAGTATCACTTACATGAAATACAGACATCTCGAACTAAGGCTTCCAAAAAACTGGCATAATATAGTGATTTTTCATATTGTGTAATTTTATCTTTTAGTAACTTTCCAAACTCTGTGAAGTCATCTCTTGAAGATGGGTTCATAGCATCTATTCCATAACCTGTATTATTAACACCTGCAGGAAAGAAGACCTGAAGCATTAGGAAGATACAAACATTTTAAGTTCATCAATGAGGGGCTAGTGAAATGGCTCCCGGGTAAGAGAGCTTACCCATGTAAAGATGGGGAGAAAAAACTGACTATACAGAACTGTCTTTTGATCTCCACATGCCCCTCCCTGTAACAAAAACTTTAAAGTTCATAAAACAAGTTGCTATCTAAATCAGTTTTATCCTAAAGCAGGACTTTAAAAACAACAAACTGTCACGTTGTGTGTGCACACACCACCATGACCTACCTACATGTGGCAATCAGAGGATAACTTTCACTCCTTCCACCAATGAGGGTCCTGGGGAATCAAACTCAGGTTGTCAGACTTATTACCCACTGAGCCACCACTCCAGCCTTAGGAAGCTTTTTAAACTATTGAGTTTTTTAACCTGTGCCTATTCGAGTTCTTGGACAGAATTCAGAGGGGTGTCTTCAAAATTCAAACTTAAAAAGAAAAAAATCTAGAATTTTACTAACCTCCAATTTTTCACTTGCTTCCATTTTTATTTTAGGCAATAAATCATATTTAACAAATTCCCACCATGACTTCAGAGCACACTGCAGCTGGTGCAGATAACCCTCATCACTGTCTGCTCAGTACTGTCAAATACTACTAATAAAAAAGCACATGGAGTGGAGTAGTTACACTTATAATTCTAGCACTTGAGAGGATGAAGAGTTCAAGGCCAGCCTGGCAAGAACCTGTCTCAAAAAAGAAACAAAGCAACCAACCAATAAAAGAATAATAAAACCATATGGGCTGGGAATGTAGCTCAGGTAGTGTTTGCCTAACATGTATGAAGCCCTGAGTTCAATCCCCTGCACTAAAAACTAAAAACCTATAATTCTGTGTCATGGATTTGTTTTGTGATTTGATTCCTGTTTCAGTTGAACAGGTTTCCTTTGTTAAAAATAAGTAAACTGTTAGAAAGCACCTTTAATCCTAGCATTCAGGAAGCAGAGGCAAGCTTTTCTGTGAGTTCCAAGCCAACCTGCTTTACCCAGTGAGTTCCAGACCAGCCAGAGCTACACACAGAGACCCTGCCTCAAAAACAAAAGCCATGATAAAAAAAAAAGGGACCCACAGAATTTACTAGCTGTCCAAAGGAGGATATTCTCAAAAGATATGTCCAAGAAAGACAAAAGACTAAAGGGACGGGGTGGGAGATGGCTCAGTAGGTAAAGATATTTGTCACCAAGTGTGACCACCTATATTCAATCCCCTGAACCCCCATGGCAAGAGAGAAGCAACTCCACAAGTTGTCCTCTGGCTTCCACAGGCATTCTTGAGTACACAAACCCAATAAATGTAATAACAAAAGAAACTTTTTACAAAGAGGGGAAAGGATAAGAAAAAAGATGGATATAAAAATAATCAGCTAATAACTCCAAAAATTAAGTAGAGGTAACCATGTGTTAAAACCTGAGAGAAAAATTAATCTAGCCTAAAAGAATTCTGTTAAAAGTATGTATGCTTCTGTACATACCTTTTTCAATGTCAAATAAATGATCTATCAATACCACAGATTCAGCACTGTAGTACAAGAAACAGTAAATTCCTATTAACCAAACAATGCCTGTGTTAGTTCATTTTTCACTTCTTAATCTGTAGCTGGTATCCTATATGAGATTTTCTGCACCGAGCATACACAGATGAACCATCACAAATAGAGAAACACCCACAGTCACAGCTGACATTGCTAAAGACCCACTAAGGGGTATGGTCACACTTTCCTAGAAGGGGACCAAGCAAATCCCTTGTGTTCCAGAGAAGGTGGTTGGGTGAATTTTTTCACACCAGGTAATGACAAACTTGACAAATGAAGAAGTCTGGATTTCTCTGTTGTCTTTTAATCTTCCTTAGTGTGCTGGCTATTTTGAAGTCAACATGACACAAACCAGAGTCTCCTTTGAGAAGTGGGAACCTCAACTGAGAACATGTCCCTACCAGATTGGGCTGTGGTGCGTTTTCTTGATTACTGATTTAGGTGGGACAGCCAAGCTCACTGTGGGCAGTGCCACCCCTGGGCAGATGATCCTGGGAACTGTAAGAAAGCAGACTGAACAAGCCATGAGGAACAAGCTAATAAGCAGCAATCCTCCATGGCTTTTGCTTCAGTTCCTGCCCTGACTTCCCTGAGGATGGACTATAAGCTGTAAGATAAATGATGGCCCTGAAAGATGGGGTATTACAAAGGCCAAGAAAAAGAAAGCCACTAATGAATATTCTACATGGACCAACATGCTCTGCCCAAGTCCTAGCTAGACTTATGGCACCAGAATGCCCCAAAGACAGTTGATACTTTAATTTCAAAGCTGTAGACAGCAGAATCTATCCAGTTCATAAGTTTAGGTAACAGTATACTTTACTGTGTCTACTGATGTCTTCTGGAGGGCGTTGGGAGGCACAGTCTTGCTATATAACCCTAGCTGGCCACCACTTCTGACCCTCCTGTCTCAGCCTTCCAAATGTTAGGATTATAGGCATGTGTTACAAATGATGTCTTATATTTAATAATATGGTACTCTAAAAAATTACTCAAGAAATCTGAAAACATGTCTATACTTTGTCAAGTAATCTTAAATATATAAACAAGAGCTTAAAACTGTTTTTCTGATCTCAGTAAGAATGTATGTGTCCTTTAAAAACATGGTTTTTGATCTTTTAGTATTAAGACTGGCACAATTTTTCACCTGGAGTAGCTCAACATTGCACCCACCATCTTACCAAATGTTTCTTTTGCTAATTCAAGGTCTGACTCTTCCTGCAGCTTCTTTAGCCGAAGTTTATCTGCTAATTGCTCTTCAGGTGTTAGCACTTTAGGTTCTTCCGGCTCTTCTAACTAAAACGAAACATAAGTTTCATACAAAAGCCGAGCTTATAGTGGACACAGTCTATTTTTGTATTATATGAATTTTATGTCAGCACTTAACACAAAGAAGTAAGTACATACAAAATGAGTACTGTATTTCAGCATTCTTCTAAACACTTTAAAGGATATTCATATCTCAATTACACAGATAATGAAATAAAACATGGAGACACAGAGAGGTATAAAACAACTCGCCCACAGTAATAGAAGTAACATCTAACTGATGTGACATTTGCACCCAGAAAGGCAGAGGCTATTTGTTTCCCTATCCATTGTTAAAAATGAGTAGATAAACTATAGGCAAGATGAAATGGCACTCTTCACATACTGCCACAACAGACACTGAACAACCTTTCTAGGGCAATATGGAAACCTGTATAAGGCATCTTAAAATATTTCTACATGCTTTCATCAAGCAATTCTATAATATTTGCATTAAGAAACCTGAGATGGGGGCTGAAGAGATGGCTCTGTGGTTAAGAGCACTAGCTGCTCTTCCATAGAACTGTGCTCAAATCCCAGCACCCCCATGTTGACTCATAAATCTAGTTCCAGGAGCTAAAGGCCCTCCTCTGGTCTCCACAGGTACCACACGAGCACAGTACACAAATATACATGCAGGCAAAACACTCGAAAAATACTTTTTTTTTAAAGGGAGGAGCCACTAAGATGGCTCGGTGGTAAAGATCACAACTGGACGTTCTTCCAGAGGACCGACTGTTCTTCCCAGCACCCACATGGGGCTCACAACCATCTGTAACTCCAGTTCGAAGGGATCCAATGCCCTCTTCTGGCCTCAAGGGCACCAGGCACTCAGGTGGTACATAAAAAGATATGCATGCAGGCAAAACACCCATACACATAAAATGGGGGGGGGGGGGGGGACAACACCTAAGATAATATCTATTGGAATATTATTTATAATTATTTATAATTGCAAGTAAATTTAGTGACATCCTAAATGTTCAACTACCAAATGATTGAAGTGTAGCATTGTGCTGGGAGGTGGTAGCACACGCCTTTAATCTCAGCACCTGGAAGGCAGAGGCAGGTGGATCTCTGTGAGTTCCAGGCCAGCCTGGTCTACAAAGCAAGTTCCAGGACAGGCAGGACTGTGACACAGAAAAACCCTGTCTCAAAAAAAAGAAACAAAAAACAAACAAAAAGTGTAGCATTGTTCATCTGATAATGTAAACATTAAAAATGTTTTCAAAGCATCGGAAAAAAAAGTTCTATTTTATTTTAGAGTTACAAACAAATGTAATCAAAATAACCATGTGACACCCCAGTAATGTAAAGCTCTCACTTATTCCCCAACCTTCTGAAAGGGTAGATAGCAGTCTGGTGTCTTTTCTACACCTGGTGATATAATTTCCTACAGATGTATGTTACTCATAGTAATAGTTCCTGGGAAAAGTGAAGCACCTTTGACTCTTCATGTATGTTCCTGCCTGTGCAAATTCTCATTCTGAAAACGTATTTCCTTGTTCATGGAAATGAAATGTAAAGAGGTTAAAAAGAAAAAATGAAATATTTCCAAGTGTCTTTAGACCTAGACAAGGATCAAAACTGAAAATATCTCAATGTCAGACCTAAGACAAACTAAGAATACTCAAGTTAAGGTCTCTCCAGGTTGGAAATAAAAAACCTGAAAACCTAAGTGACTAAGAGTCATTCAACATAATGCCTTAGGCTGCTGAGTTATGATTTTACTGCTTGTTCTGATCATGAAAGCACACAGAGGTACCTTTAAATATACAAATTATTATTTTTACATACCTAAATGTTTCTAGTTGAGGAAGGGGAAAAAGGCAGACTGTTCACAAATGAATGCAGAAAAGCACAGCCCCATATGGAGAACAATTTAGGGGCTGGAGAAATGCTCAGAGATCAAGAGCATTGACCGCTCTTCCAGAGGTCCTTTGCCAAGTCATGGCCCCACAGTTGTGAGGATGCAATTTCTGCTTCTGAACACTGAACATGAAGGATTTTGTTTTGAGCTTCATACCAGTTAGGCTGTACAATGCTAAGATCTTATGTTTGAATTTCACCTGAAGCTGCAAATAGGCGAAAACAAACAAACCAGGTGTGGTGGTACATGCCTGAAATCCTAGTACTCAGTAGTTAAGAGACAAGAGGGCCAAGAATTCAAGGTCATCCTCAGCTACACAGCAAGTCTGAGGATAATTTGAACTACATGAGCCTGTCTCAAAAAAAAAAAAAGGTAAAAGTAAGCAAATAAAGTATGTATTGAACTGTACATAAAATAACACTCGGAAAATAATAACACTAGAACTTACTACGTGATTACACACACTTAACAAGATATATTCTTTAAAATCTTAAAAAAAAAAAAAAAAAGGTGGTGGGTAGTTTGAAATCATCCTGACAAGGTAGCACACACCTATAATCTCAGCACAGGCAGGTAGAATTCTGAGTTAGAGGCCAGCCTGGTCTACACTGTAAATTCCAGGCCAGCCAAGGAGGCTATATAAAAAGACCATGTCTCAAAAAGTTAGGATATAGTCTAAATTGAAAAAAAGTATAAAGAAATCCTACACTGGGCACAGTAGTACACGCCTTTAATCCCAGCACTTAGGAGGCAGAGGCAGGCAGATCTCTGAGTTCTAGGCCAGCATGGTCTGTCTACAAAGTCAGTTCCAGCACAGGCAGGGGTCTCGGAAAACAAAAGTACTAAACTCCAGTTAGCAGATTTAAACTTTATTCTATAATACATTATAGAATTTTTTCGAGTTTTTTGATTTTATAGTTTTTTTTGAGATAGTCTCATGTAAGGAAAGGATGAGATTACAGGTATACACCACCACCCACAGCTTACAAATTTGTTTGTTTCTTTATTGAGACATGGTCTCTATCTGTACCTCAGGCTATCCTCAAACTTGTAACTCTCCCACTGGGATTATAGGCATGTAGAACCACACCCTGCTTGAAACTTCCATGTTTTTAGCCTCATACAGTTATTCATTCATATATGTACCATATATGATGGTGTGAACAAACACACAGACAGACAGCCTCCCCCACCCCCACCCCCACCCCCCGGCTGGCCTCAAACTCACTATGTAACTTAGATGACTCGAACTCCTTATCCTTCTGCTTCCATCTCCCAAGCAATGGGGTTATAGGCATGTACCGCCACATTGTTTTAGGAAGTGCTAGGATTGAACACAGGGATTTGTAGATGGTCCTATACCCATCTACATACTGGCAGCACTAAGTAGACTCTGAGTTTTTCAACACAGCATATGAAGTTGGGAGGGAGAGTAATGAGGAAGTGGAGGGAGGAACTAGGGGTTTGGCCTAAACATATGCAAGCATAAAATTCTCAAATAATAAACTACTATGTTTGGGTAAAACACAAATTACAAAAATCTTATAACAAGTTTATGGAAAAAAGAAAGAATTATTAAAATTTTTTGGCAGAGTCAGGCATGGTGGCACACACCTTTAATCCTTGCTTGCACTTGGAGGCAGAAGCAGACAGATCTCTGAGTTCAAGGCCAGCCTAGTCTACAGAGAGTCCCAGGACAGTGAAGACTATACAGAGACACTGTCACCCCCACAAATCCTGCCCCCCCCAAAAAGCAGTAATGGGGATTGAACCATAGCACCTTCCACACAGGCAGGCACTCTATCACATCTTAGGGATGTAGATCTCATGCCACATCTCTCTTATGCTGGTAAAACAAACAAACAAACAAACAAACAAAAAATATATATATATATATATATGTATGTATGTATAGATATAGATCGATAGGTATACACATATATGTGTATACTTATATACATATAAATACAGAGAGACAGAAAGAGAGCTTCAAATCTAAAAATACAGATTTCTAGAATATCAGGTTGTATTTATGCAATCATATGAAAAAATCTCCTTTCAGAGGTTTAAAGGTAAAGTATATTAGCTATATTAAGCAAAACAAAAATAGATGAAACAAATCTGGGAAGACACTAACAATATAAGGTGATATGTACTATTTGTTGTTGTTGAGACAGTCTCACACTATGTAGCCCTACCTGGCCTAGAACTTGCTATATAGACCAGGCTAGCATCCAACTTTTAGCAGTCTTCTTCTGCTTCCTAAGTACCAGGATTATAGGTATGAATACCACCACATTTGGCTTTATGAGACTTACAATACAGCCCAGGCTAGTCTTGAACTTACAGTAATATAATTTGGGCTTCCAGAGTACTGGGATTTCAGGAGTGCACCACCATGCCTGATTATTTTCCTACTTGCATATTTGAAGATTTTTCTTAACAAAAAGTAAAAAAGGCCATAGGGTGGTGGCACATGCCTTTAATCCCAGCACTCAGGAAACAGAGGCATGCAGACAGATATCCGAGTTTGAGGCCAGCCTGATCTATGGAAGTGAGTTCCAGGACAGCAAAGGCTACACAGAGAAACCCTGTCTCAAAAAAAAAAAAAAAAAAAAGTAAAGAAAAATATTAGAGGTACTTCCATGTTAGAATTCATACTATACATGTTATGTATGGAAAGATCTCTACAATAAAGTAAATAAAATTGAAGTGGAAACTATACAAGAAAGGACAGCCAGTTAGTGATGCATGTCTGTAATCTCAGCACTTGGGAAGTGGAGGCAGGAGGAAATAAAGTTCAAGGTCAGTCTAGGTTATACACCTAAAGCCTATCTCAAAGAGATAGGGATAATACATACAGAAATATAAAGATAGCTTGGAAAGGTAAGAGACAAGTGTTTACATGTGGGACAGTGGGAAAGACAGAATAAGTAACTAAAGGTTTAGGAGTGTTTTGTAAGTTTTTATGTCTGAATTATGAAAATGTTTCCTATTAAGGAGAAAATTAATTAATAAATACAATAGAGGGCTGGAGAGATAGCTCAGGGGTTAAGAGCGCTGACTCTTCTTCCAGAATTCAATCCCCAGCACCCACATGGCAGCTCACACCTGTCTGTAACTCCAGTTTCAGGGGACCCCAACACCCATAGCAAAACCACAAATGCACATTTTTAAAAAAAAAATTAAATAAATAAATAAGGTAGAATTTCTGGATCCTGCTACAAATAATCAAGATTAAAACCACTTTAGGACATGACAAAGGTTTGCTCAGTGTGTTCACTGTGTAGAACTGTGACTAGAAATAGCTGCAGGTGGGCTGGGCATACAGCTCAGTAGTAGAGGGATCACTTACATGCATGAGGCCCTGAATTCAATCCCAGCACTGAAAGAAAAAAAACAAAACTGCAGGTGCTAGCAAAAAACAGTTAAGTGTGGTCACTGCACAATCTAACTGTTCTGATGAAACTGAAAATATTTTCAGATGTAGGACTTCTGGGTTCAATTTTTGCAAAATCAATTTGTTCTGGGCTTCATCTATCTTCTGGTATATCCATTTTGTCTTTACAGAGCCCTTCAAGTTACCAGGTAATATTTGCAGTCAGTTAAGACACTGTACCACAATTGACACATATGAATTCTGTATGCATTTTAAGGAAACTGACAGAACTTACCCTCTTTTTAATTTCTTCTTGCCTTTTCTTCTGCTGCCGTTCTTTCTCTTTTATCTTTTCTGCTATTTTTTTCTTTTCTGAAATTTTTACTTCTGAAAGAAATATTTTATTTACAATTATATTGAATACTTTCTAGTCTATGGCTAAGGCAGACATGATGCTTGAACTTGAAGAAACGAAACTTTCCCCTAGCTTTCAGATGGTGAAATTCTGGAAATGATAAAGGTCTTTTCCTTTCAAATCTTATCCCCAAAGATCCAAATAGACAAGATAAGATCATTCACATAATACCATTTCCTCTACTCTTTTCTCCCACGCGATGACCCAGCAGTCAAACAGAAAACCAGCAGGTATTTAATCTGAGTGTTGAGAGGACAGAGAAGTAGTACAGGAAGAGGAAAATAAAGTACAGCAAGACATTGGGTTAAAACAATGAAGGAGTGTAGTGCTCACCGGGTTTGACTTCTGCTTCCTCTTTACTTTCATCATCATCATCATCCCAGTTATCCTGAAGACAAGAACCTCCATTAGTAATTCTTACATGTATTTTTGTCCATGTGCTCTCTAGGGTTAACCTAACTCTGCACAAACAAGCTTGTTGATATTTTTTGGTATTATGGCCTTTATAGTAAGGCCCTTAGCCAAGGGTTATCTTCCCATTTTTCACGTCTACTTTTGTATCTCAGGAGTGTAAGAAGTTTTATGTGTTTTTCTTTGGGTTTGTTCCTAGTATTCTATAAATTCTGTTGCTTCTCTAAGTAGGTTTCCCTTGCTGCCATCATGCCCTATAATTAGTTATTTGTATATAGCAAAGGCTACTGGGCTTTGAACATTAGTATTTGGAAGGACAGAGTCCAATATAGCCCAGGCTGGCCTGGAATGCCTAAACTTTCTGCCACCACTTCCCAAGTGGGAGTACAGGCCATCACACCCAGTCTTTGAACAGTAATTTTACCACTTAAGTTAAATTTTTCATCAATTCTTTGAAGTTGTCTAATTAAAAAATCTGCAGTATTTCAAAATTCAAAACATTCTTGAGTACCAACATGTTGCCACAAGAATATTCCATACTTACAACAACTGGGGCTAGTACCACAAGCCTGAATGTAATCCCAGCTACTTGGGAGACAGATCAATGTTTAAGGCCTGCCTCTACAAAGTAAGAAATCCTGTTTCAAAATTAAGTAAAAAATAGAAAGCTAGGGAATATAGTAAATGCTTGTCTAGCATGCACAAGACCTAGGTTCAATCCCCAGTACTACTGAAAAATAAAAAATAACAGAAAATTCCACATCTGATCCATTAATAGATCTTTAGTCAAAGAGAATAAATGCTAAAAATAGTGTATAAAATTACCTTCCAGCTATGTGTATAAGGTAAATTTAAAACAAAAGCATTTCATGTTTACTTGTGTCCTATACCATTACACATACATACATACACCTCAAAATCTGGAGAAAAAAAGTTCCTAAATGAAGATACTTCTGGCCCTAAGCATTTTGGATAAGGGACATACTATACAACCTGTACCACATCACCTGAAAACAACAGAAATGATACACTACTTCTTGACTTTTGAGACAGGGTTCCCTATATAGTCCATGCTGACCTCCAACTCATTCATCTACCCACCTCTGCCTTCAAGTGATGGGATCAAAGATGTGAGTGAAGGCCCTCCACACCAGCATGACTAATTCTTCTAATTGTACTAACTCAATCTCCAGTATACTAGTAAGCAGAGCAAAGATAATAGGCACCCTTGTCTGTTCCTCTCTTAATGAAATTGTCCCTCAAATACAGTAAAATTTATGAGTCATTGGCTTTTGCTACCTCTGGATTTGCATTAAGTCAGAAAATCTCATACCATAGAATTCATCATGTTTTCTTCTAGAATGGTTTCATTGTTTTTTTTAATTTAGATTCCCTAATCCAGCTATAGAAAAAAAAAAAAAAAACAAACAAAAAACAAAAAAAACCCCACAGATCTTGCCATATAGATTAGGCTAGTCTGAAACTTTCAGTGATCGTGCCTCTATCTCCTAAGTGCAGAGATTATAGGTGTAACTAACACCCCACTTAGTACCACACTGCTTTCATTACAGAAGCTTTATGGTATGTTTAATGTCTGCATATATAAAATAATGTAAGTTTAATGTCCTTCCTCCTTTTAAGATTTTTAATGTTTTTACCATGGTGTTTGTTTTTTCATATAAGCTTTTATATCCACCTATCTAATGCCATAAAAAGCGTACCAATTAAAATACAAGATAACCAAGCTCAAATTTATAAGCCTTAAATCAGTTGCTATCTCATTTTTTGGTTTGACCTATGTACCCCAAAATGGCCTTGAACTCACGATCCTCTTGCCTTCCCTTCCTGCATTCTGGGATTACAGTCGGGTGTTTACTACCCATCACTTATCAATTGTTTTGTTTATCAAATGGACCAAATATTCCACTCTCCAGTCAATGGGTCATTTGTTTCAAGCAGTATTGCTTACAACACAACCATAGTCAATGAATCAAATTACACAATATTTTTAGGCACAGTATTAGAGATGAGTCAAGAACTAATTAAACCTTTATGGCTCTGCCTCCTAAAGCTGAGCAAGGCACTTTGAGGTAGACCTATACTCTGCTTTTTCTATGCCTAACTCTATCACTGAGCTACATATAAACCTAATTTCAAACACAATTTTCTGAAGACTCTATAGAATTAGGCGATCCCAATTTGGTAGGGATGGAGACAGCCTTCAATTTAAATTGAGCTTTAACCTATAGGTAAAACAAAGTCTCAGCAACCATCAGACACAGTATGACATGTCATTTGAAGATGAGCCATCAGAGGGAAGGTACAAAGCAGGAAGCCCTGACGCTAGTAGAAGAGGCAAAGGCTGACTAATATACCACAACTATGACACAAACACAAGCTTCTAGCTTTATAGCATTACAGATGGCAACTCTAAATCAACCCAGGTATATATACTAAACCTCAATTAAGACAAGTTTATATATCCAGCAAAGAAATTAAAAATCCATCCTCCTGACTGAGGCTGCAATGGGTCGAACAAGCAGAGCAGGAATAATTTTATGTACATGTGTATGTCTAATTTTCTAAAACATTCAATTTTCTCTGTTTGGGTGTTCTGCCTTCATGTATGTATATGTACCACGTGTACCCAGACAGGACAGAAGAGGGTTCAGATCACCTGGAACTGGAGTTTATAGTTATGACCTACCATGTGAGTGCTGGGAAATCTAACCTGGGTTCTCTGGAAGAACAGCCAGTGCTCTTACCCAATGAGCTAACTCTCTAGCCCCCAAGTAAATATATTTTTACAATCACTTGTCAAATTTAACCCATGGTTTTGAGTTTTAACAAACTGAAAAATCAATTAGTCATTATTTGAATAACTAAGATACTAGAGTTAGAAATTAAAAATGAAATGTTTGTATTGCCTTACTATTGTGCCTTAGTTCTTACATCAAAACTGTAGTACAAAGGGAACCAAAGATCTAAAAACAGAAGTAAACTACCAGGCATTTTGGGGTCTGTAATATGCTGCTTAGACAGAGCTTCATATAACAGGAGGGTCATGTGTATTTCCAGAGAGTGCAGATTTAAAACTGAGATAATAATAGTAATAGCATATATTGATGAGCATTTACTTTGCACCCAAAATTATGCTAGGAGTTTTTTCATGTTTTATTTAACATTAAGGTTAATCCTCAGAACACTCCTAAAAGTAAGGTAGCATAATACCTACCTATTACATATCCCATTTTACAGAAAAAGAAAACTGTGGCCCAGATGTAGCCAACGAATGATCTCAGTAAGAAACAATAAAGGGACTCGCTCTGAATGGACCAAAGTGACACAGAACATAACTTCCTGTGAGACTTGAAATATAAAGGAACTACAAACTAAGTTCCTCCTACTAAGATTGGTTTTTTTCAATTAGTTCTAGAATATGCTCCCCTAGATCATAGGGGATCTCATTAAAGAGTAGAGTTAAGGTACATACTTATACATAAAATATGCCCAGATACATACAACTGTATTAGTTACACACCTTCGAACCTCAAGGTGCCTACAGTATGTCTTATTTTCTTTAGAAATTTAAAGACACTGATCTCCAAACCTCTGTCTAGTACCACAAAGCCATGAGCGAACTATTACTCAAAATAAGCAGTACCTTGGTGATACCTTCAACACAGAGAAGCACCCTTAGTAGCTTATCCACACCAACTCTATATCCCCTGTCCCTATTACTCTCTAGTTTCCCACAACAAAAGATAACCCCAGCTCCTATCCATGCAAACAGGAGGCTCCCTAGAAATCCTCCATTCCATCAAATTCCCTTTTGGGGGGGCGCTAGAGGGAGGTGTTATGGTTGGGTCTTGCTGTGTAGCTCAGACTGGCTTTGAACTCATGATCCTCTTACTTCCACTTACAGAATGCTTGGATTTGTGGCATGTGCCACCAAACCAGGCCAGAATGGGTTTTAGTAGCAAAAGAGGCAGTTCCTGTAAATGAATTCTAGGCAGAGTCATGACACCTGCCTCAATGCACAAAGGACCATGAAAGGCAAGCCACTGTCTATCACCATTACCCTCAAATACATGCAACAAACCTGCCCTGAATTACTACTATCATATTAGTTCTCTTAAGAGAGCAAATAGCTGGAACTATCAAAGAAGGTTCAGGAGCTTCCTCAGGAATTTTTAAAATTTTGGCTCCTTAGTTATGAAATTAGCAAGTCCTAAAAAAATAAATGTAGGGTAGAGAATGCCTGCCACAATTGCTATAGAAAAACTGTGCAAACTATTCTGTAAACACAAGGACTTTGTAAATGCTGGCAAGTTTTTCAGATAAAATGACAAAAGTGTTGCAAAACACTTAAAATAGAGACTGTAAGTTTATCTATCACTTCAAAAAAGAAAGAAAGGAAGACAGACAGACCTAGGTGTTATGTTCAAGATACAACCTATTAATATCCTATTAAAAAGCTGGGGATATAGCTCAACTGATACAGCATGTGCACAACATGCATGAGGCCCTGGATTCAACCTCCATTACTTAAACAAACAACACACACTCCAGGAATCTGATCCAGGTATCCTGGTGGTTCATGACTGTAATTCCAGCAGTTCGTGAGTAGAGACAGGAGGATCAGTTCACAGCCATCCTCTGTGGAGTTCTAGGCCAGCCTGGACCTTGAGACTGTAACAAAAACAAAAACATTCAAGTTGCCTTCCTAAAATGGCCAGCTTTCTTTAGAAGAGGGGCTGTTTATAACTTCCTTATGTACATACATACTCATGCCCTACAAATATACACCCAACATCATTTGAATTCAATTATTTCTCTGAAAGACATGGCTGCTTTTCAAGTCTAAACCCGAGACAGGGTTTCTCTGAGTAACAGCCCTGGCTATACTGGAACTCTGTAGACCAGGCTGGCCTTGAACTCACAGAGAGATCCACCTGCCTCTGCCTCCCAATTGCT